CCTATGAACAGCAAGTCTGAACCCTCTTTCCCTCTCCTATCCTGTGTCAATCCCCATCATCTCTGATATTCTTGTGCCCATTGCTGTTTTGATTCATCTTGTTGAAGATCTTCCTCTGTTTTGCTGACCTTTTACCTTTCCAAGGATAATATCTCTTTCCAAGGACTAGCCTTTTCTAGCAACATTCCCCACGTATGTGAGATGAAGCTGCATCATCCTTGCCTCTGGCAGCATTTTCTCCAAGACATTTCTGGGGGTTTTTTTGACAATATTTCAATATTCAATTTGTTCAATATTCTTCCCCAACACGACAGCTCAAAGACATCTGTTCTTTTTCTGCCATCCTTATTCATTGTCCAGCTCTCAGAAGCATAACAAGTGACAGAGAAGACCATGCCCTGACTCAGGTGCCCCTTCGTCTTCAAACTGACATCATCCTCTTCAGTAATTTGGACAGGTCCCTGACAGCAATTCAAATCTTGTTCTCCTGTCTGCTGGTACCAAGGGTGTTGATTGTGGATCCAAGTAAAATGAAACTGTTGGAAGTTTCAGTATTTTCTCCGTTTATCGTGATGTTGTCTACCAGTTAGTTCATTGGTGAAGATTTTTTTGTAATGTTGAGATGGGATTCGTGTTGAAAGTTCTATTTTGTCTTCTGCAATAAGCACTTCACATCCTCACTTTAAGTAAACAAGGTTGTATCATCTGCACAATGCAGGTTGTTAGAGTCTTTCTCCAATCCTGATGCCATAGTCTTCTTTATAGTGTCTGGCTTCTCAGATGATTTGCTCAGCATAGATTGCACAGGAGATTGCCCGTCTTTCTCATGCAGAATAGGTAGTGGATTTGAACCACAATCTTTTGGGTTGATAAAACGCCCTTCCCAGCTAGCCACCAGAGCTGGCCTTCTCTTATATAAGCCGTTGATTTTAAAACAGAGATACCATATACACATACATACACAAATATAAAACTCATTTAAGACAACTTCTCTATGAACAAAATATTTAACTGAGGAAAGCCAAATATTTTCTTTTGAGTTAGAAGAATGCACAGCTAGGGATGGACAGACTTAACTGTTCTTACTCCCTGTCTGTCATCCTAGCGAGGCTTCCAACGTAAGCAGAGATCAAAGAGGTAAACTTTCTGGAAAGAACATGGAAAACAAGTATATTATGTGAGCTGATTGAAAGGCAAGCCGTGTGCTTTGTATACAAACACGCAACGTTCAGAGTTGACAATTTTGAATCCTGGGCTGGAGGCTTGTTTGCTTTGTACTAAAGTAAACTTCCAATATGTGATGCCATTTGGGGAGCTTTATTCTTATTCAAGACTTTATTACTATCTCTTAAATGGTATATGGACAGGGTAGTTGGATCTAGAAGGAAAAGCAAGAAGGCCTAGGTCAGTTGGTCTTGACTCTGACTTGCTCACTTAAATTATCTGAAACTTAAAAAATGTTTTTTCTCTGTGTGCCTGTCATACACACACATACGCGTACATTTTTACATACATGGATGGAGCAAATGATAACTGTTCTTTGCTGCTGACTGAAAGTTAGATGATCAAGTACACCCAGATGCCTGGCAATCTGTTTCTAAGATCAGCCATAAGTCTACTATGAGATCAGAACTAGATAATGTCTAGCTGTCATTAACTGAACTTGTAGATCAAAGACTCAATAGAAGAACACTGATCAAAAGAGGGAAAATGCAGAATCAAATTTCTACATTTATGGAGACTAAATGAACCTTAGAAACTATTGCCTTCCAGGTAATCTTTCAACCTTAAACCAAAAATATTGCCTGAAGTCTTCTTAAGACATTTTGCTGAGTGAAATATCTCAGTCACAAAAGGACAGATACTGCATGACTGACAATGAGGGTTGGGAGAAAACTAAGGAAAGAGGGGATAAATAATGTCGCTGACATTGAAACAGGTAAGGGAGAGAACTGTATAAAAGGAATATATGATTAGATATTATTGGTGTGACAAGACTCCAGAATAAGAGCTGCATAGTAAAGTGGTGGTAGTGGGGAAATGATTGTATAACAACAGAAGAACTTTTTTTTCAAAAAAAAAAAAAAAAAGAACTGGGGGAGCAGGGAGGAAAATGTGCAATAATGAATGAATGGAAATCCAAGTTCTTTATAAACATTCATTAAAATAAAAAAAAATAGTTTTGCTGAGTTCATGAAGTATCTCCCTTAAACTTTGTGCTCTTTTAAGATCCATTTCTACAAGATCAAACTGGCAATAGCAACTTGAAAGATTAGATAGGAAACTCAGGGAGCAGTGAGTTTGTATTAATGGGAGAGGAACAACTTGGAAAAGGAGAATGAGAATGGTTACACAGGAATGTAATCAATGCCACTGAATGTACATACAAAAACTGTTGCATTAGTGTATATTCTCTATAACAAAAATGAAGTAAATTGTGAAAAAAAGAAAGAAATCCTTATAGAGCCCAGTTCTCCTCTGGCACTCCTGTTGTTACCATGTGTTCAAGTTTATGTGGCAATTGGTGTGCAGCTCAGTCACTGCTGCAAGTGGATTCTGACTCCCAGCAGCCTTCTGCCATCTTTTTGTTGTAAGGAGAGAGGGACTTTCTCCTGTGAAGCTGCTGGTGGATTTGAATATCCAGAGACAACCTTTTGATAGCAACACTCTAGGGACAATACCACCAGAGTTCCTTATGTGGTATATACATGAATATATAACCTTGAGAAGAATGGGCATTCCAGAACAATTAAGTATGCTTTTATTAAATCAATACCAAGACCAAGAAGCTGTTGTCCGAACAAAGCAAGGGAACCCTGCATGGTTCAACAGCAGGAAAGGTGTGCATCAGGGCTATATTCTCTCCATACCAACTCAATCTGCGTGCTGGGCAAATCATTGGAGAATCTGGACTTGATGGGAGTTGGCATCAGGATGGGAGGAAGACTCATCTACAACGTGCTTTAGGCAGATGACACAACCTTGCTTGCTGAAAGTGAGGAGGACCCGAAGCATTCTCTGCAGATTAGCAAATACTGCAGCCTTCAGTATGGATTACATCTCAAAATCAAGAAGATAAAAATCGTCACCATTGGACCAATAGGCAACATTATGATAGATGGAGGAAAGATTGAACCTGGTCATGATTTCACTTGCTTGGATCCACAGTAACACCCTTGGTGCTAGCAGTCAAGAGAATAGAAGACGTATGACACTGGTAAAGTCTGCTGTCAGCAATCTCTTCAAAGTCCTGAAACAGTGATGTCAGTTTAAATACTAAGGTGCACCTGATTCAAGCCACAGTCTTTATATAATCACTTGTCATGCTTCTGAGAGCTGGACAATGAATAGCGGTGTCAGGAGAAGAATCAGTGCATTTGAGTTGTGTTGGAAAGAGTGTGAATATCTAATAGACTACCAAAAGAACAAACAGAAAGTGCAACCAGAATGTTCCTCGAAGATGAAGATGGTGAAGCTTCATCGTACATATTTTGGACATGTTGTTAGGAGAGGCTTTTCCTTGGAAAGACCATGATGCTTGGAAAGGTAGAGGGTCAGTGGAGGAGAGGGAGACCCTCAACAAAATGTGTTGATACAGTGTCTGAAGCAATGGATTCAAACATATGGAGGGTAAAGATGACACAGGATGGGACAGAGCTCAAATCTATAGTTCATAGGGTCACTATGAGTCATACTTGACCTGATAGCACTTCACACTAACAGCAGCACCACAAATGTATATTGATACACATATGTGTTTGTGTGTTAATACATATGTATCTCTGTGTGTGTATGTATGTATACTTAACACTGATTGTGACCTCACCCCGAGGTAAGACCCAGGCTCATTGTGTTTGAAAAAACTCCTTAGGGGAGTCTAATGTACAATGAGGGCTGCAATTGACTCGTCTGGACTCTGCAATAAGTCTAATGTACTTATCTCCCTCTTTATTTAAAAAAAATACTAGAAAATTTCATTAACCTCCACACCTTACCATTCTCAATTTAACTTTACAATATACAGAAACTACTTAAATAGAAACTTTTACTCTCTTTAATACCACTTTCAAGAATAACAAACGTATGCTGTTAAACACTTCTTACATTCTTTTCACATCATCCTTTTTTATGCATCTTATTTCCACTATAGAAATCTCATATAAAATCAGTCCTAACATAAAAAACACTTCATTTTCAATTAAGGATGTTTATTTGAAAATGCTAATAGAAATCAAGTGTTTCTTCTACTTTTGATGACTATAATAGAATAAATTATGAAAACAAAAAAGCAAAAACTTGTTCCTTGTATTCATTATCATGTATGAATTCCTCTCATTTTAAAGGAAAAATTGATGATTTCCAATTATGATATTTGTAATAGACTCCTTTCTCAACAATGAAAACAGTGAATCTTTCTAGTAACCCAGAATCCATATATTAATTTTTTTCAGTTAATCTTTTTTTTAAAAGAAACAGAACATTTGGTTGAGCTTAGAGGTTATATAAAAGCTAACTTAATCTGTGCCAAGCATTTCCATGAATATTCAAAACTCTCCTATAAAAAATTGTATTGACAATGTATGTTCCTAGTAGAGTTAATGGTTTTAAGTCTGCTCTTGACGATGGCAATAAAGAACATTGACATTTAAACCGTGTTTTGAGCATATTGAAATAAACCAGTCGGTTCCAAGAGTGTTGACTCAGCATGCAGTACTGCATCGCCATGACGTGGTTTTAAATATAAACGATGCAGTAAAATGAGAGACTCCTATGTTTGTAGCATTGTTTGCTTCGTTTCTTTTCCACCTGTCATACAAAGGAGTTCAGCCTGATGCCATCTCCTTGTAATCCACCATAATCAGACAGTTTAACATACTGTTCTGTGGTGACTTAGTATAAATTGAGAAATCAGCCCTGAGTAAACATGCTTGATGTTTCCCTTGACGTGTTCTCGAGTTCCAGGGTGATTTGACTAAAGTAAACATTGTGTTCTGATGCAGGAGCTCTCACTGGGCTCTTTGCTGAAGTTGAGCCTGTGTTTCTCTGCTGGTCTGCTGCCCTACCTCCACCTTCCCGTCTCATCCTACCTCAACCAAGCCCGCTGGACCTGGGGAGACCAGACAACAGTGCAAGGATTTTTGACACATTTTCTCAGGGAAGAATATGGAACATTCAGTCTGGTAAATTTATGTTTCAGACTCTTTTAAGGAACCGAGTAGCAAAGCATCCGTATTTTACTTGAACTTTGATTGGAAAAGAATGGGAAAATAGCCAAACAAACAACAGTTGGCACAGTTTTTATTTCTGTAATATAACAAGCATGTCCATCGGAATAATGGCCTTTAGGATAATTTAGGAGGAATAACAGCAATCATTTACCCCACCATCCTTTTGTGGTAGAATTTATTTTTTGGGGATGTGTTTTTGTATGTCAGAAAGTTAGAACTGACTCATAGCTGATCATCCAGCTGGGTTTCAGATCAGAAGCAATAAATAGCGCAGTTGCCCAGGGAGCAACTGATGGATTTGAACTGTTTGCTTTTGAGTTGGCAGTGCAGCTCCTCACCACTAGGCCACCTGATGGCAAACACTAAAAGGATTCTATAGCCCCTAATTGAAGGGAGCTCTCGTAGCTTATTGTCAAGGAATTGCACTGCCAGGGCAAAAATACCAGCTGCTCGCCAGGAGAAAGATGAGCAGTCTCTTCCTGTGCTGTTTACTGCCTCTAAAAACCTGCTGCATGGTCATCTGTGGGTCGATTCCATCGTGACGGTGCATAACAACAGCAACAGTCATCCCTTAAATATACATTATTCACTTTTTGTCAGTGACATACTAAATGTAGGAATGAGTAATAATAAAATATTATTAATGAAGCAATAATTATTAATTTCTTGGCAAAGAATTTGTTTCTTTAAGATTATACTCTTGTTTACATTATATTGGCTACTCCATAAAAATGTTATCTTAGGACCTTTCCATATTTGAAGATTTGTCCATAATTGCGAAATTAGGCACTATTTGAATTTTTAGAGATCAGTATCTCTAACCAAAGTTACCAAAAAACACCTAAAGTCTGTAATGCAAATATAAAAAATACATGAATCCACTGCTCTGTTAATCATTCTTGCAGAAGAGTTTCAGATGGTTTTCTGTCAATGCCTTATTTCTGAAATTCTTCCTAAAGGAGGCGGATATGTAGTTTTCACTGACTTCCCTTTTAAAAATTTTATATGACTGTAAAAAAAATTTATAAGACTCTGATATAAAGACTTTAATCAAGAGAGGTGCTGCTTAGTGTATTTAAATATATATATCTTTTTAAACTTTATTATTATTCATTTGAATAAAGTTTACAGTGCAGACTACTACTTCTTCAGCCATTCATATTTTGTCTTAGGACTTGACTCAAGTTCACATGGTGTCATCATCCTTCCTTTCTCTGTGGCTCTTGTTTCCATTCATCTTTCCATCCTCTCCCTTCCTGCTTTCTGAGTTTTATCCTTGGATAAACACAACCCTTATTTGACTGCAGTTAGTGTCGTGAGTGCCACAAATTTGGGATTTTTAAAATGCAGAGATCTTACTTTCATTGATAATTCCTAAGAGCTGAGCCGTGAACTCTGTGACCCAACATGGCAACAATTTGAGGCCAAATACAGACCAGTAGTGCTGCTCCCCCTTCCTTTCATTATGTCTGCTACTTGAACCTGGACGAGATATATATCTTTTTAAATCAAGATGCTAAAATACAATAGCCCATCAAAGCTTAGTTTTACTGTTTATACAAATAAACTTTTCTCTTATGTATTTAGGCAAAATCTGAAGTGGGATCCAGTATGTCTAAGATACTGCTGTGAGTATGAAATATCTGGAACTATTTTAAATGATTTTAAAGATTGTTGAGTTTATCTCTTTATAAAGTATGCCTGAGAAATTGTTTTCAGCTCTGCAGTTAAGAGTTGTTTGTGTATACTATCAAATATCCTAGCAGTTCCTTCGGTATAATAAGGCTTAAAGTGAACAATAAATACAACAGTGAATGAGAATGTTAGATGAATATATAGAGTCTTTAAAATGTTTCAACTGTCATTTGGATTCAAAATTAGCCAACATATTGCTTTAGAAAGAATTTGTTCCTTTTTTTCTGGTTTTTACGTCTTCTTTCTTTCAAAGACATGTTATAACATTGTATTTAGCAAAGTTTGAACAGTTGTTATTTTTGTTTGCTCTTGCTATTTCAATTCTTCAAAATTTGATTGTCTGAACTGGTATTGATATAAATTGTAATTTTTTTCCTTCAGCATTTTTTAGCATCAAATATTATTAGAACCAGTTTATGTAAAAATAATCTTCATCAGTATTATCTAATAGAGCACTTAGTGACCTTAGTGGTAAGGCGTTGCACTGCCAACCCCAAGGCATGTAGTTTGAATCCACCAGCTGCTCCACGGGAGAAAAATGGGCAGTCACCTCCCATGCAGTTTACTGTCTCTGAAAAACCACTAGAGCATCAGTTACGGATCTGGTCCAATTTGACAGTACTCAACAATAGTACTCCTGGAAGGATCCCACCCTAGTAGGTGGGGAGTTATGCTGCTAACTCAAGGTGACAGCTATCTGGTAGTTCACATCAACCAAGGACTCTTTGGAAGAAAGAAGGACAATCTCCTGTACAATTTACAGCCTCGGAAAACCCACATGAGGATCAGCTCTGAGTGGGTTCTGACTCAACAGCCTATTAAAATGAGGGTTTTCATTAGAGTTCCCACAGAGAATCTGACAACTTGAAAATATCTGAACCAATAGGTGATATTTTCTATAATGTTCACACTATAAATCTAGAAGGAATATTTTTCTACAACATTAGAGAAATGTACTAATTAATTAGTAATTTGGAATTTTCAAGACTAACAAAATAATTTTCCAAATATGGAGAGAATATTTCAATTTAATATATGAGACCATTCACACTTCTCTTCTTTACCTGCTAGCTAGATTCTATTCCATCTTCTTGTTAAATAGCTTTCTTCTTCCTCCAAAACATATTACAGTCATAGAAAATTTAGAAGCTACTGATAAGCAAAATTTTTTCTCATATTTTTAATTTATATAGTTAGTTTCACTTACATTATATTTCATTCATGTGTATTGCAAGGGGTTTTCCCCCCTTACAATCATCTGACTAATAACTACATTCATGAAAGTGTGTAAAGTAGCTACCTCATGCCTTATACCCTAAAATCTCCCTTTTAGATAGCCAATCTCTGATTTCTCCATCCCTATCAAGCCATTGCTCTGAGAGAGGAAGGGTGTCCCTTTTGCTGAAGAATCCTCTGTTCAACATGGAAACCCTGAACATCTGCATCTGCAAGCAAAATCCAGTCCAGAGCAAGCCAGCAGGTTGCAGCAGTCTGCCCTTCCTGACAGCGTGGATCATTTTCTCTTCATCTGGTTGGGTTCTGGTCAGCTCATCCTCAGCCAAATGTGGCAAGGTTCAAATGGGCATCAGCTGCAAGCTCTGGTGTCCACACTTCTTGCATTGCAAACTTGTTAATCTAAGCAAAAAATTTAAAAGTAAAATGGGCTATAATTTCAGCATGCAGAGAACAGTTGTTACTATTAATCTGTGAACATATTTATGTATATCCTGCCAATAGAATAATTTTTGTAAAAAACTGCTCATTTTATATATAGATAAAACATTATTTATCTGCAGGTTTTCACTTTTTATCTTGAGAATGCCAGTTATTATTAGCATTTATTATAAAACATTTTGATAGTCTTCACATTTTATTTTAAATATTTGTCTTAATGTCTCACTAATTTTTGTTGCCATTGCTGCTGTTGAGGAGATGGTAGCCAGAAACTCAGCTTCCCATCTATTTGGTTAATGTCTCTAAGCTTTCACTTGATTTTGTTCTATTCTGTGCCAGAAGATCCACTGCCTATACTTTCTGTCTACTTCTGGTAATTGTCACAATATTTAGAATTACTGATATATTTTGCCTTGAAAATTCCCACGTGAACTTCTAAGAACATGCAGGAATAATCCTAGACCATAAATCACACCATTATTTGTTATTCATGAAAGTGTTCTATTTGGGTATGTAAAGACCTCTTTTGCGTTAATAATATTTATGTTGTAGACTGAAAAAGACTTGACGTAAGTGATGACCATCCCTACTCTACATTATTCATTGGAACCAAAGAGGAATGTAGCAAGGAGGTGTGAGCCCTACTATCTCTGATTGAATGAGAGGATTTCCTGTCTTTAATTGTTTTAGGAGAGCAGGAGTGTTGAGAAAGGCAAGTCATCATTAACTTACATGAAAATCCTTCCAAATGATAGAACCTAGTCATCTATCCTTTTCCAGTCAAGCAAATTAAATTTTTTTTCCCAATGGTATCTCTAAATTGCAATCCTGGAGAAGGAAATTATTGAATCTAACCCTAGGCAGTGACCATCTTTTAGAGCTTACGTTTAAGCAACACATCTCCAAGAATTAATTTTGAGAACTGACTTCATTCCTTTTGAAGAATGGTTTGAAATGGGCCTCATGCTGGAATCAATTTTTCGAGTATGTTTGAAGACGAGTGAGGATATCTTCTGATAATAGATGAGTCCCCATTAGTAAAATGCACATTGTGTGGATCCCATAATTAGGGCATCACATTTTCTCCAGTGAAATTGCCACTGGGAAGAAGTTCATTCTTTGATATGGGGACTATGTAATAATTTCTTTTTGAAAAATTGGAGACCACTAGAATAGTAGTTAAGGCTTGTTTCAGAGTGTGAGTAATACCTAGAAAAATGCATATTAGTTAGTGGAAGAATTCTGTTTGATGATAGCAAAGAGAAGACATTTCTCTGAGGTTGCTTAAACATTTTCTCGATGCAAGTACAGGAAACAAGGAAGCTTTTAGGAGATAACCTACAGAAGAATGGCTAAAAATTGTTCGTCTTCCTTTTTTGTTCATGATTGAATCTCTAGAAAGCCATTTGGATTGTTTGTTTTGAATTACTAAATCATTGAAGGACTTACCTACATTGCTCCAAGGATAAGGGTCAAAGCCCAATTCAGATCATTTATCATCAAACTAGTAAGTGATATTCTGTAAAGTATACCTGGGATAAAAGGACAGAATATGTTCTGATTTTGTCCTATTCAAATTGCTGATCAAATATTACAATTTGAAGACATTTTAGAATTGTCTAACTCGTCCTTTTGGTACTTTTTCTCGTATGTTAAAAAACAACAGCAACAACTATGAGATGTCATCTCACCCCAGTCAGAGTGGCAGAATTTAACAGAGCAGCAAGCAATAAATGCTGGTGTGGTTGTGGAGAAACTGGAACCCTTATTCACTGCTGGTGGGAGTGTAAAATGGTGCAACCACTGTGGAAGGCAGTGTGGCACTTTCTCAAAAAGTTGCAGAGATAACATTTGACCCAGCAATTCCACTACTGGGAATATACCCCAAAGAGATCATCAATGACATCCAAGCAGATATATTCAACCCATGTTTATTGCGGCTTTGTTCACAATAGCACGGAGTTGCAAACAACCTAAGTGCCGGTCAACAAACGAATGGATAGAGAAGTTGTGGTATAGGCACACAATGGAATACTACGCTGCATTGAAAAACAAGGAACTCATGCAATATTATTCAAAATGGGTGACTCTGGAGAACGTTATGCTGAGTGAAGTATCTCAGTCACAAAAGGACAAATACTGCATGGTGCCACTGTTGTAAAACAGGACTGACATCGGGGTTGGAGAGAGACTGAGAAAGATGGGTTCAATAATGTATACTGCTGAAATAGATGAGGGAGAAAACTGTTTAAAAGGGATATGTGATTAGGTATTTTTGTCATGACAGGAGTCTAGAGTGAAGGCTGCATAGTGGAGTGGACGGGGGGGGGGGTAGGGTTTGTAAAACAATGAAAGAATTTTTCTTTTATGTTTCTAAGAGGGTAGTGTACTAGTGGGGAGGTTTGGGAGGGGAGAAAAGTGCAACAGTGAATGAATGGAAATCCAAAGTCTCTGTAAATTTTTACTGAAATTAATAATAAATTGAAATAAAATTAAAAAAAAAACAAACCAAAAACACAGCTCATTGCCATTGAGTTGATTCCTCAACCCTGCATCAGGTTTCCAAGACTAAATCTGTACAAAAAGATGAGGAAAAAACTTCCTGCCTTTCTTCTGCTGAGCAGCTAGTGGATTGGAACTGCTGACCTTTCAGCAGCGTAAAGACAAAACTATGTTGACATCTGACTGGTAACATCTAACTGGCCCTTGAAGTTGTTTAATGCGTAATTTGATGTATTCCCTAAGGAACATTTTATTTGGAGTTAACCAAATACTTACTATGCCAACAATAAAATAAATTGTTGTTTACAGCTCTCAAGTAACAAATATGAGGACAGAACTCTCATTGAACATCCAAGCTCTTGCAGTTTATGCAAACGTATGTTTACCAAAGAAGTAAGTGATGCATTTACCTTAAACATGTTGTTAATTCTATTAATTGAATGAATGCAGTGTATAATTGTTGAACTCTACCAGTATATGTTTTATTCTAAATAAATTACTCTTCAGAGTTAGAGAAGCAAAGGAAGACTTCCACTGGCATGGATTGACATGGTGACTTCAGCAGTGGGCTCTGGTGTGTCAGAGATGATTAGAATGACACAGCACAGGGCAGGGTTCAGGTTGGCTGTCCAGAGGGTTGCTACGAGTTTTACTCGACTCGATGGCACCTAACAACAACAACTTCCTTCTATCAAAACAAACAGGTTGCTTTTTTGCTAGGATTTCCACCCCACCACAATTATAAATCAATAATTTGGAAAACATGAGTCTGTTAAACAGGCTGTTTAAACAAATAATTTTATGTCTTAACCTCTGCCAATTACTAGTTAGTATTGTTTACAAAAGAAAAATTTAATGACAAAAATTATTAAATATTAGTACAGACATCCATTTACTTTTTAGTCAATTGTGTGTAAATAAGTACATACAAGAATAGACATTGATAGCTTTGTTTTGTTATGACTCACTCAACAGGATATATGAGTATTTTCTCATAAAAAATACTTAAGGTCATTTAAATTTCTATGTAATATTTTATCCAATGACCATAGCATAATTTACTTAGGGATATTTAGATTGCTTTTACTTTTTCACTATTATCAGTAATTCTAAAATATCTTTGTGGATTGTTCATTGTTGAGTCAATGAATATGAATATTTTAAAGAATCTTGATATATATTATCAGACTTGATATAAGTATCATATATTAGTTTCCTCTTTTTATACTAACTTTTAAAAAATTTTATTTTTATTATTTTCGCGTGTATGTGTGTGTACCATCAAATCGGATCTGACTGGTACAGGAGGAGATTATCCCTCCTTCTCCAGCACAGCATCTAGTGGATTCGAACCACTCACCTCTGGGATTGCAGTGCAGTTTCTTTATACTAGCATTTTCATACTACTGTAGTCTCTCTTACGTAGAAAGTTCTCATTTTTAAGTCTTGATTATTTTGTTATGTGTAAATACTATTTTCTTTTACCTATTTGATTATTTCTCAAGTATGCTTTGTATATTTTCTATGAATGTATATTCTTTGGTGTATCATTCCTCAGTTGCCTGTAAATATGATTTGTCAACTCTAATGCAGATATTTTTAAAAAACAAAACCAAATTTATTTACACTTAAAAATGTAAACACACATTTTTGTCTTGAATTTGATACGTCCAAGGTCTTTTGATCACATGGAGCAGCAGCATTTGAGCAAATTTAGGCGGGGGTTCAAACTTGGGCCAACCCAGATTATTTTGTTAAGAACACGACCCCAAAGGAGCCTGACATAGTCTTGTGTACCCTACAGCTCCTCACACTGTGAGGTTACAGCAGGCACTTTGGGTTTATTGTAGGAACGTTCACAATTTTTCTTATCACTAGAAGTCCATCAATAATCTTTTCAAATACCACGTGCTTCCCATTCAGACAATCACACTTAGAACAGGTGGTGAAGAACTGGCAGCCATTTGTACTGAAACCACTGTTTGTCATGGAAAGAAGACCTAGAGCTGAGTGTCTAAGTTTAAAATTTTCATCTGCAAATGGCCCTTAGTAAATACTGGCAACTCCAGTACCATCTCCATTAACAAAATCTCCACCCTGGATCATGAAATCCTTTATGACCCTGCAGAAAGTGCACCCTTTGTATCTTATTGGAACTCCATCTTTTTTAAATTCTCCTGTACAAGACCTGCCTAACGTTCTCGGTCATTTTAGGCACAATATCTGCAGAAAGATAATTTTCATGCAGTCAACTTCCTGGTTGCCCATGTGGACATCAAAGAACACCACAAGGTTGACACTGAATTTTAATTTGCCACTGCCATAGTTGTGACCTACTGGGCCAATTGGCAGCATCATGATAGATGGTGAAGAGATTGAGGTTGTTAGCAGCTTCATTTTGCTTGAATCCACAATAAACACTCTTGGCACCAGCAGCCAGGAAATGAAAAGATGTATTGCGATGGGAAAGTCTGCTGTTAGAGATCTCTCCAAAGTACTGAAGAGCAACAGTGTCAGTCTGGAGACTAAGGTGCGCCTGATACAGACCATGGTCTTTGCAATCACTTGCTACGCATCAGAGAGCTGGACTATAACTAAGGATGATAGAAGGATAATTGGTGCCTTTGAGCTGTGGTGTTTGAGAAAAGTATTAAATATACCATGGACTGCTAAGAAAACAAACAGGTTTGTCTTGGAGAGGGTTAAACCAGGCTGCTCTTTGGAGGCAAGGATTTTGAAGCTTCGTCTGACATACTTTGGACATGTTGCAAGGAAGGACCAGTCTTTGGAGAGGGACATCATGCTTGGGAGGGTTGAGGGACAGTGCAAGAGAGGAAGACACTCTACAAGGTGGATTGATTCAGTGACTGGGGTAATGTGGTAGGAATGTCAGAGACAGTGAGATTGGCACAGGACAGAGCAGGCTTTAGGGCTGTTGTACATAACCACAACAACAACATAATGTGACCTGGAAGCGTAAGGCCAGCTCAGGTTTTTAAAAAAGATCTTTTCATGTTCCTGGTTAAAGATGAAAAGTTGACTAGATTCAGTAGGTTAAACCTATATTATTTATGTTCATGCAAATAAATAATGATTAGGCTTTTTTTTGTTTGTTTTTTTTTTTTTTACAGGGAGAGACAGAATCCATCCTTAGTATGGCTTTTTACTGGAATGTTTTGCATTTATTCATTGTTCTTTGCTTGGAGGGCCAATTTAGATATCTCAAAACCACTTTTCATGGGTGTGGTAAGTTTTACTTAGTGATATCTCTTGACCATAAAATTTGTGAGGAATGTACAATTATATTCTTCTTGAATCTTACAGAATAGCAGATTATTTTTAATATAGTTAAAATCTTACTTATATAGCATTATAAAGGAAACAGTTGAAATTCTTGAACCAGGAAAGCTAAGCTCATTTTTAGGGAAGAAATTAATGGGAAAATTATCATTTAGTACATATAATAGAAAAAAGAGTTAATGTGTGTGTGTGTGCGCGCGCGCGCACGCGCGTTGTTGTTACATGCCATCCAGTCTCCTGTGACTCATAGCGATCCTCTATGCACAACAGTTCTAAACCCACCCTGGCCTGAGCCAGTCTCACTGACTAACACATCTACCCCTATTACCCCAGTTCCTTTGTCAATCCATCTCATCCAAGGTCTTCCTCTCCTGCACTGTCTCTTTACCCTTCTGAGCATGATGTCCTTCTCCAAGGACTAGTCCCTACTGGCCAAATGCCCAAATTATGTGAGGTGGAGCTTCAGAATCCTTGCCTTGAAGGAGAAACTTGGTTTAACCCTCTCCAAGACAGACCTATTCATTCTTTTGGTGGTCCATGGTATGGCAATACTCTCCTCCAGCATGACAACACAAAGACATCGATTCTTCTGTAATCTGTGTGTATGTTAGGTAATTATTTGTGCCTAACATATAGGTAATACTACTTCTATTTCTCCTGCAATATTTTTTTAATAGCAAAACAAGTATAGATTTTAATTAGAGGCTCTTACCAACTTATTTCCTCATCTCCTACCCCTCAAATGCCAAGCTTAAGCATAAGATCAATCACATTTTTCTTTCCTTCTGATTACTGTCACTAGGGAGCTCTGGTATCTTAGTGGTAAGGAATTGCACTGCCAATGCAAAGGTGCATGGTTTGAATCTGCCAGTTTCCCTAGGGAGAAAGATGTATAGTCTCCTCCCATGTGATTTACTGCCTTTGAAAACCCACTGGAGGGTCAACTATTGGACAGTTATAACCCAGTGATTCACAGCAACAACCACCTATCTCTAAGGTTGGAGTATTTCCTGTCGTCCAGGAACTCTATAAATTAGGTAGCCTTTTTTGGCAGCTGAAACCAATTCATGGTTTTCTGCTCAAGGGGCCTAATAATTAATAATCTCACATTATCATCTGACATTCGAGTCAGCTGAGAAATAGTAACCAGCGCAAATGCTGGAAGAATTGCCTTTACCACAGACAGTGTTGGGATTGGAGAACCTGACCTACACATGTGGGCAAAGAGACTTCTTTTATTGAATCCCAGAATTAACAGACTTAACTTCTCACAACAGGCTCTCCCACCTCACCCCCACCCCACTGCTGCCACAGAGATAGAATTTGCCCCAGGACCAGAGCTCCTGGTGGGCAGTTCATTTCCCAGAGTAAGAGAAACGGGCAGATGCCCATTGCTGCCCCAAACTCCCCGGTCAATTCAGTCCATAGAGAGAAGTTAAGTGAAAAGGCAGAGAGAGGCCAGGAAGGTATACTAGCAGAGCTTCTCTACATGGAAGAAATCATGAGTTCAAACAAAAGTCTTTTCTACTCCCCACTGCATATCCCAGGAGCTCAAGAGCAAAGCTGTGGGAGTGAATGAGTGTGAAGAACCACACTGGGAGATTCTCATGTCAGAGTGGAAAGGAGCAATGTTTAGAAATGAAAAGATGAAGTGATATGGAGTTAGACTGAGAGAGTGTTAACTAGACCTGAGTCATCGCAGGAATAAACAACTAAGTATGTTCAGTGCGTATTTTTGAATGTGTAAACAGCTGATTTGAGTGCACGGGCTGGTCTGCTGAACGTTCCCTGCTTGTGCTGATTTGCAGGTAGAACGATTCTGGATGCAGAGCAATGCGGTGGTGGCTGTCCTTGCTGGTGTTGGCCTGGCTGCGCTTGTGTCTCAGAGTAACCGGGTACTGAACCACAGCCTCGGGCTCCAGTGTCTGGAGTGGCTTTCAGCACTGATTTTTGTCATTTACCAAATATATTCTAATTACAGGTAACAGATGTTATTTTTATTAAAAGTACTGCTCAGGTCAGAGACATCTGCATATTGAGATTCTAAGACTTTATCTCATCTTTAACTCCAGCTCCTTTCCAAGACTCAAAGTGAGGCAGCTTGGTTTAAGGGTGCAATGACTCTCAGACATTCAGAGTTACTGAACCTCCCTGAACCTGAAAATAAACGTGGAGAATGTGTAGTTCTAGGCCATTGCAAGCCAGAGTTTGTGTGGTACATGAATTTATAGATTTAAACAGCACTTCGGATGCTTTGTGAGCACTGGAATGTATGTAAAAATCTCACAGAGATGGAAATTAAAGACATTTGAGCCTTTTTGTATGGCCTAAAAAAAATTTACTTTATACTGTCATGATTTCATGTTTTGAATAGTACTTATCTCTTACCTACTTCACCTTGTAGTCATAAATATTTAAAACAAAGTTCCAAAAGTTTCGTCTTATGCATCATTAATCTGTATGTGTTTTTTTAAAAATGCTTTTTTTGATAACCATAACTTTCTCCACACCTGCAACACATGGAGTTTTTCCAACTTTCCATTGAAAGTCCATTTATTTCTATATTATTAAGTAAACAGAAGTAGGAGAGGCCTTTCAAGTTTATAACAATACTAATAATGTTTTTAAAGATTAAATTTGCACAGTCAACTTTAAAAACAGATGTTCTCTGTAATAGCAGATAGAGCCAGAGTGATGAAGGTTGCATCACCAGTAGGCCTTGGGAGAAGGCAGTGTGGGTCCTAGGCATGTTTCCATAACTAGCTCAGGAAGGGTCCACGTAGTCCAGTGTTCTCCCACATTTTTTTCCCTATTGCATCCCACCTCAGGGCTTTAGGGCAGTTCAAGTTCAGTGCCAGGAGTACTTGTACAGGCTGGGATTTATTTTGTTTGGAGTTTTTTATTTGCTTCGAGGGAAGAAAGAGATAACATCTCTGCTGGATCGCACAATAAAGCATCACACATTGCAAAGGAGGGAATCATAAAGGGGAATGCTAATTATTACCTCAGTTACAAAGGCAGGCATGATATTCTGCTCCTTGAAGTGTTTATTTGCTGTCTGATACTAACCCGGTGATTTAACTTTAGGCTATGCTGAGCAACTCTTATTAAATTTTAAGGTACCTGATAATGACAGGAAGGAAATGGCTTGTTCTTACTCTCATATATGGTCTGAGAAGCTCTCAGGATTGATGCCAGCTTGTCTTTGGAATTAAGATTCACTTCATTATTGAAAAGGGTTATAGTGCTGTTGTTAGCAATAGCAAATAATGCATCAAAAGACGTATACAACACAACAAACTACTGATTGGCCTCATTCCCTAGTGGTTTCTTCCTCTTAATGGGAGAGAGGAACCCTGGGAGCTTGGAACAATGGTTCCACAGAGTGGTAGAAGGGGTCAGCATCTATGAAAAAGAGCATCAAATACTAACTTTATTTTGAAAATGGGCATATGTATGTCTGAAAAGTCAAATACATTATTTATATGCTTTTTTTTTTTTTTGCCACCTGGGCAATATCCTACACACAATGTTATTTGAGTATGTGCTATGCATGTTTCCTGGTGTTATATGTGTATGTTCTCTACAATGAGCACATATTTTAGAAAAGAAAATAGACTAAAATAAAATGAGTGTAAATTCCTGGTGCAATTGGAAACCTTTTTAAATGACCTTACACAGCTTTGGGCGGGGGGGGGGGGGGTGCGGAGAAGACTTTTTCATGAGCACTAAATTATTATTATGGAAAAGATGATTGATTCCATGAGTAAAGCAGCAGACTGATTTTTTTTTTTACTGCAGAGTTCTTTTTCTCAATGATGGTATTCTCTTTTCAAATATAGGCATCCTTTCAGAGAAAACATATTAGAATACTTTGAAATATTAGACGTAGATTGTGTGATGGGAAAGAAATGGGAAGGAAAATAAGCCCAGTTATTAAAGCTGTAGCAAAGTGTTGCTATTTTAACTCTTTTTCCATCCTTTTATTTAGCATTTGTGACCAAAGGACCAATTATGTGATTGATAAATTTGCAAAGAACCTTCTAGTCTCTATGCCTCACAATGCTATTATCTTACTCAGAGGAGATTTGCCAGGAAACTCTCTCCGTTACATGCATTTCTGTGAGGGTTTGAGGCCAGATATTTCGTTAGTGGATCAAGAAGTAAGTATATGAAAAATGTACTTGGACTATAGTAATAGATATTTTGAAGCATGCTTTTTAAGAAAGAGTAACTATTTTATAGTTATTCTCACACATAAGATTACATGAGGAGCATTAAGCACACAGTAAGCCCTTAATATCTCCCAAACTAAAATTTTAAGTAATAAACCTTAATTTCATATTTTCTTTTTGAGTTCTGATCTGCATGTTGTTGTTAAGTGCCATCAAATTAAGCACAACTCCTAGTGACCCTATGAACAAAAGGTCTGAGCCCTCTTCTGTAACTATCATCATTTCTCTAATATTCATAGAGTTCCCAAAGGCCTGTTATTTAGGAAGTGAATGCCAATTCTGCTTTCAAGCCTGTCTTAATCTGAGAGATCTACCAAACCCTGTCTACCATGTATAACCATTATGGCATTTGACACAGCAGTGGCACAGCGTTCAGTATCCCAGCAAACCAAATTATCTCAGTACAGCAAACTGACAGACTGGTGCTGTGCCTCCAAGCACAATGTTCTTCTCAAATACAATTAACAGGCCTGAGGGCCTAACTGATTTTTAAATACAAAGGCCTACCCATCAGGTCCTGATTGACTTAAACAAGAGGCTTCCAGCCCAGGCGTCCAGCCCATAGTTGATGGTTAATTAACCCAGGTGACCAGTCAGTTTACACACTGTTGTGAACAGAGTTGAGAAAAAAAAAAATCAAACCGTTTACACCCAACTTTCAACTAAATCAGGAGAAGATACCCTCCAGAATCCAGTTGTTTCACACATGAGCCTCCAGACTGGAGACTTAGACATGGCCCAACAAACTTTAAAATGCACAGGCCTGCCCACCAGGTCCTGAATGACTTAAACAAGAGACTTCCAGCCCACAGCTGATTGTTAACTAAATCAGGCAACCAATCTGGTATGCATAGCTGGATTGAAATGAACTTGTCATTTGTTATTAAAGGTATTATATAAGATAAGCAAACAATAAGCATAATAGGTCAGATAATAATTACAGCAAAGCTTCAAAAGTATAAATAAAAACTCATTGCCATCAAGTAGGAACAAACTTATATCTGACCCTCCTGTGGCGTTTCAGAGGCTGTTAAGCACGGGAGGAGATTGCCTGTTTTCCCATCTTTCCTCTGATTAAGTCACTGGTGAATTTGAACCACCAGGGAGCACCACTTTTGGCTTAGCCTCCAACTCGCCATGGATGGATTAGGCTAAAATGGTCTATAAGAAAAACTAGAGCTCTGCATTTATAAAAGTATAGAATTTCTGAGGGTGGGAAGGTGGAAACTGTCTATAAGAAAAATTAGAGCTTTCTCTCTATAAAAGTATAGAATTTCTGAGGGTGGGAAGGTAGGAGCAGAGGAGTAAGGATAGGCAGGGTGGGGGTAATCATAGGGCCACACAATTTGATGGGTGGAGGGAGGAGTAGGTTAAGGAAATGTAACTATTTAGTGTGAAAAACAATGTATATGAACTAAGTACACCAGTATAAAATTAAAAAAAATATATTAAAGTATAGAGTTGATATTTCAGAAACAATTTCTTGTATATTTATTTAATCAAAAGAAGATACTGTAGTTGTTACATGCTGCCCAGTCAATTTTGACTTGTGTTGATCCCATAGAACAGAGTAAGAGACTCTGGTGGCCTAGGAGTAAAGAATTGCACTGCCAAGCCAAAGGCATGCACTTCAAATCCACCAGCTACTCTGTGGGAGAAAAAGTGACAGTCTCTCCCTCCACAGTTTACAGCTATGATGCTATGGAAGGTGAGCCGTGAGTCATTTCCAACTTGACAGAACACAGGAGTAACATAAGACGGCAGAAATGCTCCCGGGATTTCCTAGGTTGTAATCTTTACAGTAGCAAATCACTAAGTCTCCTGCAGAGTGACTAGTGGCTCTAAACCTCTAACCTTTTGATTAACAGCCAGCTGAGTGCTTAATTATTGTATCACCATCCTTCCCTTTAAGTAGCACTCTGGCTGTACTTTCTCCAGGACATAGCTGTTTAGGGGGCGTTTTTTGGCCATCCATGGGATATTCAGCACTCTTCTCCAGCATCGCAGCTCAAAGGTATCAACTCTTCTCTCATACTTATTCATTATCTAGCTTATACTCTTACACTTATTCATTATCTAGCATAGCAAGTGACTGAAAATACCCAATACCAGTTACATGTTAGTCTTCAAACAGACTTCACATACTTCCTGATGTCCTGACTGCTACTTAACTACCAACAGTGTTGATTGTGGATCCAAGTAAGATGAAATCTTTGATACCTTCAATCTTTTCTCTATCAAAGTGTTGCTTATCAGTCCGGTAATGAGGATTTTTGTCTTCTTGATGTTGAGATGCCATCTGTACTGAAGACTGTAGTCTTTGATCTGCTCCACCAAACGCTTCAGATCTTCCTCACTTTCAGCAAACAAGAAGACAAGATGGTGTCATATGCATAATTCAGGTTGTTGATGACTCTTCCTCCGATCCTGAACCCACATTCTTTTTTTCATAGAGTCCACCTTCTTAAATGTTTTACTCAGCATACAGATTGAATAGATATGGAGAAAGGATACAATCCTGATGCACACTTTCCCTGATTTTAAACCATGTAGTGTTCCCGTGGTCTGTTCAGACAGCAGCTTCTTGGTCTAGGTTATAAGTTTTGCATAACAATTAAGTGTTCTGAAATTTCCATTCTTCTCATTGTTAGCCATAATTTGTTATAATCCATACAGTCAAATGCCTTTGCATACTTAATAAAACAGGTATTTTTCTTGTATTCTCTCCTTCCAATTAAGTGTTGTCTCTTCTAAACCCAGCTTGAACTTCTCTCACTTCTCACTCAAGGTACTATTAGCTGGTTTTGGATGATCTTCAGCAATATTTTGCTTTCATGTGATATAATGATATTGCTTGATAACTTCCACACTCTGTTGGATCACCTTTTTGAGGAATAGGCACAATATGGATCTCTTCCAATCATTCAGCCTCTAACTGTCCTCCAGACTTGCCACATAAACTAGTGAGCTCCTCCAGGGCTGCATCTGTTACTTGAGACATGTCCGTTGGTATTTCATTGACTCCTGGGACCTGATTTTATGCCAGTGCCTTCGATGCAGCTTGAACTTCTTCCTTCATTACTCTTGGCTCTTGTTCATATAAGGACAGATAATTAATTTGGTGCTGCAGACTAGAATTGACTTGCAACAGTAACAACAAAATAAAATAATTTAGTCTAAAAAGGGCTTCTTTTAACTTCATTATCTAGATTACTTGATTATTTGAGCATGCTTCTCAATGGTAGGGATTATATTTTGCTCTTTATAGGTGAGCAGTACTTGATTTTGGAAGGAATGGACTAATAATACATCTTTCTGCTTTGTCTGAGTTGTCAAGCTGGGCCGTTAAAGACATTTTAACTCCAGCAAACTAATTTTGAGAACTCTTCCATCCTAAGAAGTGTGTTTGGTGCAGAGGCATATAGGTGAAAAGATCCAGTCCCTTCCTTTGAGGATTCAGTCTGTTGCTGTTGTTGGTACGTCTCATCAAGTCGACTAGGACTTACTGCCAACCCCTGAAAACAGAACAGAGCTGTGCCCTATCTATCCTGTGCTATCCTCATGGTCTCTGCCATCTTCAAAAAATGGTTCCAATGACTGTATCAATCCAATTTTTTGAGGGTTATCCTCTTTTGCTGACCCTCTTACTTTTCCAGTGTCATATCTTCCTCCATGGACTGGCCCCTACTCACAAGATGCCCAGAGGATTTGAGACCAAGTTTCACTATTCTTACCTCTAAGCAGCGCACTGGTTGCACTCCTCCAAGACAGATGTGTCTGTTCTTTTGGCAGTCCATGGCATGTTCAGTACTCTTCTCCATCACCACTATTCAAAGGCCTCAGTTCTTTCTTGGTCTTCCTTATTCAGAGTCAAACTTTCAGATACATAGGAAGCTGTTGAAAATATGATGGCTTGTATCAGGCACACCTTGGTCTTTAAACAGAGTATTCACCATCTAGTGAGGAATAAATAAGCAAAGATACTTGAGCCAGTGCTGAAAATTGAATATTCGTTCACGATGTAGTGCGTATAGAATTACACTGCTAACGCAAAGGCCACATCTCGATTCAAATCCACCAGTGGCTCTGTGGGAGGGAGAAAGATGGAGTTGATTCTTTCTGTCTCGATGACAATGGGGTGCTAAAAAAAATAGGGAAATGTCATTCTAGATGGTTTGCCAAATTGTCAAGCATGGAGCAAAGATGAAATGAAGAACTAATGTAAACAATGGTAATCGTACCTTAAGATATAAAATCTTAATCATAAGGAAAGTACTTGGTATCCTATTCATAGGCTATGTTTTGTATCTATTATATATGTATGCTATATCTATTCATTGAATGTAATTGCATTTTAAAGTCTTTCCACTGTTCTTGATTAAAAGTGTGACATTATTTGTGATTTTTATTCTGACAGATGATGACTTATGAATGGTATTTGCCCAAGATGGCAAAGCACTTACCAGGTGTCAACTTTCCTGGGAATCGGTGGAATCCTGTGGAAGGAATATTACCTAGCGGGATGGTCACATTTAATCTTTATCATTTTCTTGAAATAAATAAACAGTAAGCATTATTTTCATATAATAGCTTTTTCTAAAGTCTTAAGCTTTTCTAAAATTGTTTATGTAGCAGCTGTGCCTCATCCAAAAGACCAATTTTCTACCCCTATTTCCCTGTCACCGGTGAGATTATCTTTGTAATTAAATTGAGTATCTGCACATAAATGAGACCAGGCAGAAATAAATGTTATTGTTCTGGGTAAAGGAAAAATAAAGACAGATTAGCAAGAACAGCAAATAAGATCTGAGTGCAATTCAGAGAAATTGGAGATGCGCCTGCCTACTTGAAATCTTTGCAGGTGGATCACAAGCAATTATAGTTTCCCCCAGATGAACACCAGGGCCCACTTTTAAGTGTAAAACAAATGTTTTCCAGGAATAATCACTATATAAAAATAGCCTGAGTTCTTTTTTTTTCTTATAAAAGATAAGACATTTTCATAAGAGAAACACCTACAGTTAGGCTAACTGAGATAAAATATGAGTTGTGAATTCTGTACTTGAGAACACAGAATTGTTTACAGTTAAAGTCAAGAATAATATCTCCCTCAGTGGTATCATCTTGGCCATTTCTTCTGTCTTAGAAATGCTTGGGTTTGTTCAAAGCTTAAAGAAGATCTGTTTCATGATTTCAATTTTGTCATAAAGGAAACATCAGAAGTGCTTTGTAAAATCCAAAACTAAATTGTCCCCTGTCAAAAACTTCATAATGATACACTTTTGGTGTTCAAAATCCAAAGTTTTCTATGACTCATGAATACTTAATTTTTCTATTTTGGAATAAGGTAGAGCCATCAGAATCTCCAAATGGGTTTTTTGTTCATTTTCTTTGACTCTATCTCATAAACATTTGTTGGATAACTACTGTTTCAAACTTGTATTAAGTTCTGACAAGAAAAAGATGAATGGCACCTATTTCCAAATTCTAGTAGACTACACTCTAGTTGTATGTACGCAGATCTGGATAATCATAATATAATGGAGGAAGTCCTGTACTTGCCTGTCACTGCATCTGTCTATCTTGTTGGCTGTCTTCCTCTCCTTTGTTGACTCTGCCTTTCTAAGCATGATATCCTTCTTGAGGGCTGGCTCCCCCTAATAATATATCTCACTCTCCTTGCACTTTGGCTGCACTGCTTTCTAGACCGATTTGTTTGTTCTTTTGGCAGTCCGTGGAACATTAATTATTCTTTGCCAGCATCACAGTTCAGAGGCATCAGTTCTTCATTTGCCCTTATTTATTGTCCAGATTTCACATGCTTATGAAACACTTGAAAATATGGTTTTGATCATGTATACTTTAATCTTCAAAGTGACAGCCTTGCTTGGTAGCACTTTAAAGAGGTCCTTGGCAGTAGACTTAACCAATGCATTGTGCCATTGGATTTCTTTTCATTAGTTTATTTTTTGTTGTTGTTATGTGCCATTGAATTGCTTGCGACTCTTAGCAATCCTATGTACAAGAGCCCTAGATGCCGTTCTAGCGTATGCCAACCTCGCCATCTCAAACACACTCATTCCCACCACTGAATTCACAGAATCGATCCATCTCATCGAGGGTCTTCCTCTCCTGCGCCGTCCCTCCACTCTCCCAAACATGACGTCCTTCTCCAAGGACCAATGCCTCCTTGCAACATGCCCAAAGTATGTCAGACGAAGCTTCAGAATCCTTGACTCCAAGGAGCACTCTGGCTTTACCCTCTGCAGGAAAAACCTGTTTGTTCTCCTAGCAGTCCATGGTATATTCAACACTCTTCTCCAGCACCACAGCTCAATGGCATCAATTCTCTATCAGCCCTATTCACTGTCCAACTCTCCGATGCATAGCACGTAATTGCAAAGACTATAGCCTGGATCAGGAGCACTTTAGTCTGCAGCCTGGCATCGTTGCTCTTGAGTACTCTTGAGGGGTCCCTCACAGCTGATTTTCCCAATGCAATTAGTCTCCTGATTTCCTGGCTGATGTTACCAAGAGAGTTGGTTGTGGAACCAAGTAAACTAAAACTGTTAACTATCTCAATCTTTTCACCATCCATACTGATGCTGCCAGTTGCCCACTGGTGAGAATCTTTGTTTTCTTGATGTTGAACTTCAATCCATATTGAAGGCTGCAGTCCTTGACCTTTTTCAGCAAGCGCTTCAGGTCCTCTTCAGTTTCAGCAAGCAGGGTTGTGTCATCCGCATAACACAGGTTGTTGACGACTCTTCCATCAATCCTGATGCCACATTCCTCCTCTTACAGCCCAGCATTTCAGATGATCTGTTCTGCAGATCTAAATATAAACACAAGGATTTTTTTGCAAATAGCACCTTATCTACAAAGGGATTGCACTGGGTATCCCCAGACCCAGAGGCATCCAGGGGCTCAGATCCCTGTCTCATCTGCAATGGCAGGAACCTTTCAGTTGAAAATTGCCCATAGGAGACCTCTAGTTGTGGAAAGGCAATTCACTGGACAAGCAGTCTTGTCCTTTATAAATTAAAAATTACCACCTT